CCTTCTTGGCATTGGTTGCCACAACAAAAAGCACAGAGGAAATATTCTGCTTACTCTCAGTAAAATTTCACGCACCCCCTGCTGTCCTGAATGGACCATACTCAATTGGTTTGGGAGCATGACATAGATATGGTCTTACAAGCATGTAGCAGCTGTGAGAGGCTCCATCTGTTCGGTACAGATACATTTAGGAATTTCACTGACAAATTTTAAGACAACTACTGAGATTTTACAAGGGTGTAGGACCCCACAAAATTTTGCAGATTACAAAGAAAGCAAAACACACATCCTTGGCCAGGGGGCCTTCTAAATCTCATATTCCTAGTCCAAATTAAGGGAAATGCTTTATTTTGACCCTTTAACATCTTTTTTGGAAGCCACTGCAATGCTCCCTAAATATTCAGTCCAAATATACTTATCATTATCACATGGTATAATTAGAACTAAGACCATTTCATTATTTTTTTAAATCTTAAAAGCTCTGTAGAAATCTAAATGAGTAGTAACCCAATCTAACCCAAATAAGGCAAACAAAGTTATGTATCTGGCGTTAGCTGTAATTATTGACTACAGAATGTGTATGTTACTTGACATACAACAGAATGTAAATACCTTTATATCATGCCTTTCAGGAGCTATGATTAAGTCGTCTGGCTTCTCACTATCCCTAATAGCAACTGAAAAGCCACAAGCAAATCTGTCATGGGGATTCTGTGCATGTAAGCGCGATGTCTGTTTTTGTGACTTAATACAAACTAGATTAATATAAATGCTCAAAAAATGACATAAGATAAACTGCACAACAATGTGAACTAGAACCTGGAAGTTCACAGAGTTAGCTTACTTACTAAAACAGATTTATTAACTAAAAAGCTATACATATGCTACAGTTACTTACAGAAAATACGTAATATCCATCTTATTAATATTAATATACTTGTTAAGTATTAATAACCTACAGTTTTTTATTAACGATGAAGCTGTATCTTAACAACCGATACGAACTACATGCTAAGAACAAAAAAGCATTCTCCAAACTATTTTAAATTATACATGCTTAAGAAGGAGGAAAAGAGTCACTTGCTTATAAAGCATTAATGAACTGTCAGCCCGAACTTTGGGTGCCAAGCCACAAATTTATGAAGAATTCTCCTAAGTGTGTTTCCAGCTGCTGAGCGTGCATGTGGAAGGCGATCAGATCCTGAAATCAAACAGGGAGAAAACCCCCTTCTTCTAAGACAGCCAGATCATTTTACAGCAGCATTAAAAAGATGGGGGGCGGGGAGGAAGCAAAACACTTCCAAATCCATACAAGGCACACAGTGTTCTGCTCCCAAAAAGGAAACATCAATTTCAGTCCACATTTTTGGAGTGCCATTAGGATGACGCAGATAAAGGCTTTCCCTCACTTCTTCCCCACTCCCAAGTAAATTCTTTTCCAGTTGAAAACATGTTGAGGGAGAGGTTCCAGGTAGGTTTTCAGGGAAAGGGGGAAGTTACACCCTCTTGAGAGAAACCTTCAAAAAGAAGCAGCCCAGCTGAAAGAAATCTCCAGGGAATCTCCAGGCAACAAATGCTTTAGTCCTACAACAAGTTAAGCTCGACTACCCTGTCGCAGGAGGTGCAACGAGCGGCCCCGTTCTCCTCCCCAACCATGTGCCTGCTTTTCCCCGTACCTTTACTTCTGTCACTTCTAAGCGTTCACGTAGCAACTTGCTTTGGGAAGTCAGTTTTCAGCAAGAGCAGTGCCCTCATCAAACACACGTGCTCAACACCACTGACAGGCGTAAGGCTATGTGGCGGAGGACAAAAGGAGACTGGTACTGTACTTCTCAACAGCTACACCAAATTCTGCCAGATTAAAATGGCACTGAAACGACGATGTAGATGTCCATGACCACAGGGAACGTTCTAGAAACACCTCGAGGTCCCACCCCATCCCTTTGCTACGCCAGATACAGCTACTCCAGAAACTTAATTTACAGGATTAAAGGCAAATAAAAGAGCAGAATTTCTTTCTGGGTCTTTTGCTTCCTCAATACTGTCCTGACTAGCAGGGCGGTGGGCCCTGGTTTTTGCCAGGGGGCTGATCCCAGGGCCTGCGCCCAGCCAGACTCACCCAGACTGTCCCATCCGAGGAGGTCTAGGTTGGAAATAAAAGGGGGCATAAATAAGGGGGGGAAGGGGGAAATAAAAGGGAAAGGTCTACCCTCTTAAAAATTCTAGATACAATAAAGGCCTCAATTAAATTTTTAAGAATAATGCAACTGCACTTCACTTTAGGGTTACAGAAGCGTACTTCCCTACCGTAGTTCCCCCTCTGAAACTGAGCCTCATCTTCGTTGGCTGCAGCTTCTTCCGTGCCGCCACCGCTATTCCTACAGAGTGGAGGGAGCGCTTTTGTATTCTTGAACAAAAGCAACCGGACCGCTCGGCAGCTATTAAACGTTCAGAGGGGCTTCGTGCATGCCTTCCACAGCACCCTCTGACTGCCCTGCTCTTGCTTCTCTCCTTCCTCAGAGCAAGAAACCCCAAACGCGGTGCTTTACAGTGACCAGCGCAAGACTTAACGCACAACAAAAACAATCAGGTGGGGTCAGGCTACAGGTTTATTGAGCTCAGTGTCCCATTTCCAAGCACGGCCTGCGGCGGTTGCTTGTGGCACGGCAACGGCAAGGGCCGTGCTAGACACGGGGTGGTATTTCCCTTGAGAAATACTGCCCGTAAACTTGAATTTCCCTTGAGATCGGGTATTTCCCTGGTCCAGTAACCCATCCCAGGACCGCCTGGTGCCGCTGGCACAGCCAGACACTGCCATCAGGCCATCCGTCCTCTTCGAACCTATTTTTACATTTACCTGCTATCGCACAGTTTCACAGCTTTAAAAATATAGCTTTAATTCTGCTGTTTGGTGCGTGTTCCGCCCCCCCCTCCGCGTTAACCCCGCGCACCCCCTTTTTGGGCC